AATTTGTCAAATTTAAAACTTGTGCAGACCTGGTTCAAAACTGGTACAGAATTGGTGCAGAACCGATTCAGCTGTTCTGTGTCAGTTCTACACCAGTTCTGCACAAGTTCTGAACCAAACCTGCACATGGGGTTTAATTCTGTAAGATAGAATGTTTCGATTTCTATTTTGATTAATTACAAAATCAAATTTTTTATACATCCTTTCTTTTAAAGGCTTGACGTTCAAATTTTGTATCATTTTTTTTATTCACAATTGATTGTTCTGACTTGTTTGGAGAAAAATAGATGAATTGAATTGAATTCACGTATTAATTGTAAGTCAAAAAGTCTAAGTCTGATTTCTTTTTCAAGAAGAAATTGTGATTTTTTTCCAAATAAAAACAAAAATGTGTCATAAGTAAAAATAAAAAATGCACTTATCTTTACAAGTTTACAATTAATCTTCCTGATAAAAAATTTGATTTTCTCATTCAATTACATAGAAAAAGATTACAACATAATTTTTATTTTAGCGTGATGATGTTTATAAAGTGCATAGAAAAATGTTGAAGCATAAAAATTATTACAGCGATCCCCATTAAAAAATGTAAATGATAATTATTGGAAATTATCTACAATCCTGATATGAAATAATGAAATCGTGTTATGCCATTTGAAATATTATATTATTAACTTTTTACTATCTAACAATTTTCTCCACAGGGAAATCCACAAACTTTTCTTTTGGCCAGGAAAAGGAAAACTTTTGCCTACAAAAAATAATTTGAGTCACTTATGTATAAACTGGAAGCTGAAATTAATTTATCTTTTCTTGCCAAGAAAAACAAAAACAACGCCGCAAGTCTTTGTTAGTTTTCTTAAGCAGGGAGAGGAGGAAATGCAGTGCGCTGTATATAAAAGTCCACAAAAACAACGATCAATCTCTGCAGGCTTGTTTGTTTGGCTAAATTACTCTTCCGGAGATAGAAAGCGCCGCGTATAATAAAATAATGTACACAAACTTCTCTTGCAAAGTAAATTCATTTAATGCACTTTGGCAATCTGCTTTTATCAAACAAAAAGGAAATAAAAAAAGGAAAGTTAATCCCTAAACACATGCTTGCTTTCTCTCCTGACTCTGCACGGGCGATGCAAAACGAGTGGAAAACTTTTGCATGCAGCTGGATTCATCCATTCATTCGTTCAGCTCCACCTCAAACTGCAGTTAATTTTAAAAACGTCTCTTGCATGCTCACACAGAGCCAGGCTTTGAGCCTCTCTTTCTCTGTTGGTGTGGCTGCCGAGGATAGGTAAAGATGCTGCAGAGCCTTTTGATCTCTTCAGAGCGAAATGAGTCTTCAGCAGCTGCATTCCGATTTTCGTAGCAGATGCAACGGCGCCTCGCTCGCTCGCGGCTCTTTCGCTCTGCATTCCGCTCTCTTTGCCTCGTATTAATTATCTCCTGCGGCTGTTTGTTTTGCGGCTCGGCGCGCAAAAGAGATTAAAATCCGCCGCCGCCGACTGCTGTACAGACACGAAAGGGAAAACTTGCTCTCGGTGCAAACATTCTTGCCGCAAATATTTTATTGAAACTTTGCTTATTGAGTGTGCCGTGAGGTCTGAAATAATAGTTATCTTATTGTTAGACAAATGAATTAAAATATGAATTTATTTGTAATTTTTAAATTTTGCTGTATAAAAGGATTTCATTGTCATGTTATTACCCTTGGGAAGTATTAAAAGTGTTTAATTTTCAATAAAATTTTTATGCCTGTTTAAATTTATTAGAAACGAAGATAAATTGTCAACTCATAAACATAGTAAATTTATATTTATTTTAATTTTTAGCTTGTTTAGACTCATATATGGCTTATTAGTTAGAATGAATTTCTTTCATCTTGATTTACTAAAAATTATTAAAAAACTTTTCCTGTCGAAATCGGATCACCTTCATAAATTAGTGATTTCCTAAAATAATGTTGAGCAGTGCTAGCGGTGGTGTCGCTTTTTCCAAAAATTCCTTATTTCCAAATAAATTGTTTTCTACAATTGAAGGTAATCAATTTGGGCAAATAAACAACATTAATAGGGAACTATTTTTCAACAAAAGTTGAATGTAGAACTATTTTTCAACATCAGCTGAATGTAGAAATACTTTTCGACAAAAGCTGAATGTAGAACTATTTTTCAACATCAGCCGAATGTAGAAATATTTTTCAACAAAAGCTGAATGTAGAACTATTTTTCAACATCAGCCGAATGTAGAAATATTTTTCAACAAAAGCTGAATGTAGAACTATTTTTCAACAAAAGTTGAATGTAGAACTATTTTTCAACATCAGCTGAATGTAGAAATACTTTTCGACAAAAGCTGAATGTAGAACTATTTTTCAACATCAGCCGAATGAAGAAATATTTTTCAACAAAAGCTGAATGTAGAACTATTTTTCAACAAAAGTTGAATGTAGAACTATTTTTCAACATCAGCTGAATGTAGAACTATTTTTCAACAAAAGTTGAATGTAGAACTATTTTTCAACATCAGCTGAATGTAGAAATACTTTTCGACAAAAGCTGAATGTAGAACTATTTTTCAACATCAGCCGAATGTAGAAATATTTTTCAACAAAAGCTGAATGTAGAAGTGTTTTTCAAGAAAAGCTGAATTTAGAACTATTTTTTCAACAAAAGCTGAATGTAGAACTATTTTTCAACAAAAGTTGAATGTAGAACTATTTTTCAACATCAGCTGAATGTAGAAATACTTTTCGACAAAAGCTGAATGTAGAACTATTTTTCAACATCAGCCGAATGAAGAAATATTTTTCAACAAAAGCTGAATGTAGAACTATTTTTCAACAAAAGTTGAATGTAGAACTATTTTTCAACATCAGCTGAATGTAGAAATACTTTTCGACAAAAGCTGAATGTAGAACTATTTTTCAACATCAGCCGAATGTAGAAATATTTTTCAACAAAAGCTGAATGTAGAAGTGTTTTTCAAGAAAAGCTGAATTTAGAACTATTTTTTCAACAAAACTGAATGTAAACTATTTTTCAACATCAGCCGAATGTAGAACTATTTTTCAACAAAAGCTGAATGTAAAACTATTTTTCAACAAAAGCTAAATGTAGTTTCTTTTTTATTAAAGTAAAATATTCAAGGTTTAGGAAAAGACAGCCAAATTAGATGGAAATATTTGATTACAAAAAATGTGCGCCTGGTAAAATCAAAGGCTCCTCCACAGTCAATTTTTTGTATAAGAAGGTGATGTTTTTAAATATCCTGATCACAAGAAATTTGGCTAAACAATTGATTTTTGGCAAACTTTTATGATTTGATTTACAAAAACCAATAATTTAAATTCATCATTATATTATATTCTACATGATTGTAATAATTTTTCCTCTCTAAAAATTAAACCTTTTTCTGTTTTCAATCCTATATACATAAAAATGAAGTTCAAGAAAATCACGGAAAATCATAAAAAGTGAATTGTGCTGAAATTTGAGATTCTCACCCAGGGTTTGAACAACATAGGTGCGGAGAGCCAAATTTCTCTGTCGGCCCTTTGTCGAGACAATCAATTGCGCAAAGAGGTCGGCGGAAAGTGTCAAGACGTAGGCGAGGTTGGGAAGAACGCGTGTGTCTTAATAATTTATCAAAGCCCGATTCAATTTGCAGAGCAGCGAGATTGGCCGTCATATCTAGTTAGCAGGCGAACTCTCTCAAATCCCCTCTGGGCGTCGCTGCTCCTTGGGCGCATATGATACTGCTCCGCTCGTCAAGTGGCACCCTGCTTAAACCGCAGGTTAATGAGCAAGCAAAGCCTTGCAGCTCGAACGAACGAACGAACCGCAGAGGCTGCTGCACTCACCGGGACGCCAGCCAGACACGTGGAAATAAATTCTGGCGGCGGCAATGAATGTCGTCCAATTAATTATTGCTGATGAGTGTGAAATCGCGGCCCGAATCCGACGGAGCGCGTCCAACGACTCGCCAAATTGCACTCGAGCTGATGAGAAAAGCAGGCCCGGGTGAAAATCTACAGAGAGAGCCCTTGAAATAACAATAATTTTCATTGACTGTCTCAACTAGCGCCTTTTCATGCATTGAAATTCGGCTTTTCCTCCACAGAAAATTTAATTATGTAGAACGCGCAGGATTTTTTTTTTTATATTTGAAAAAATTTGAAATTCTAAGAGGAAAGCAAAAAATTTCAATTCAATCACTAGAAATCAATCCTTGAATTTTTTATTAACAAATTTGTTAATTAACTCAATTTTAATAGAGTTAATTTAATTTATATGATATTCAGATATTAAATGTTAGCGTTATTATGAAACTATAACTACATTTTTATATTTTTAGAGCGTTAAAATTATCCATAATTTTTTATTATCAAATTATTAAATTTTTATTTTATATCAGGAATTTTCGGCTAATATAAATTGAAAAAAATGGCAATATATAGAATTCAATGTACTTTTATTTAAATTATTTTTATTCTCTCTACGTTTCGTAATTACGCTTTATATAGTCTTCCTTTAGTATCATTCAATTTCTCTTTATTTTATTTTTATCTCATAAAAGTCAAAGCAACAAAATCACAAAAAGTACATTAGCGCATTGCCAAAATTCAAAAGTTATTCTTCATAGTTGGTTTTTAAAAAATATGTATAGTGAACACAATATGTAGAAACTAACGTTTTTGTAGAAACGTCGTTTCCCAAGATTCTCAATTCATGTATTCCAATTTTTTTAACATGACTTAATATTGCTCCAAAAATGATTTGAAAAATAAATTTGTCCTTAATTAATTATAAATTTTAGTAGCAATTTAATTAGCAAATACTATTATGTATCAGTGCTCATTGCTTTAGCGCCCACTTGCTCATTTTGCCGCTCTTCACTCCTAAAAAAAGATGCTCCGCCCCCAAACGACCTTCAAAACAGGTGGCTGCAGGTGGCGCTGATTATTGAATTGAATTGCTCAGGTGCAAGCCAGATGGGGTTGAGGTAGGCATGGCGCTGGTAAACAAACAAGAAAACCGGCTTTAATGTTTATTTGGTTAGAGTTGCCGATGCTTTTTGCAATCCTACTATGTGGCCTCGACCTCAGTTGTGCCGTCTTTGCGAGAGGCCTGCGAACAACGGCGGATTCCCGGCGGCCGAAGTGGATTCGGAGAAATTTGACGAGTGGTGCTTGAATTATTTGGGCACTACTTTGGCCGCCGAGCTCAAAGAAGATGATCTGATTTGTTATTTCTGCGTTTGGGACGCAAGGTACACAATAAGCTTTGATTTTTGTAAAACGTCGTAAAATATTTTTTAATAAATATCATTTCTGTATTAATATTTTCCCCGTTACTTGATTAAATTTAAAGTTTTTTCTATTAATAAATTTGTTACATTTATTCTCATATCTTCGTCTTTATTTGATGAATTTGCATTTAAATAATTGAAATTTGTTGCAAATTGTAACAGAATTCAGATTTTTATTCTTATTATAAATTAATGTCACAATTCTTTTTTAAATAACTAATCTTTTTTTTTAAAGGTGCCTCCATCAGAAAAATAAAGAAGCTAATTCAACAGCTCTTGGTTCAGACTCGTGGCCTGACTTCAATGGATTATGCTGGTGGCCCAGCATAGAACAAGAAGTAGAAACCAACGTCAAAATTTTATTTGACCATTATAAAGGTAATACATGATTTTTTTTTTATTAACATTATTATAAATTGTTAAATTGTAATTTTACAAATTACTTCTCTCTTCACACGGATTTATTTACCCGAGAAATCTTTTCCTGTGATTGACTTTTCTTCATGTAATTAGTTGAATTTCCATTTCAGCTGGACACATTCAACAGTGTTGGGTGCAATTAGAGAACATAATTCAATCCGAGGATGCAACTTTAGTTGAAAGCGAAGATGAAATCATCACCAGTGAGCCAAAACAAGAATCGAAAGTTAAGTGTGTTTATTGCTACAAAATAAGCCCAAATATTGATTGCTTGAGAGGGCATATTAAGAATTGCCATGATGATATTGCAATTAAATGTGATTATACTAAAAAATGTAGCGCATTTTTCCGAAATTATAAAGAAAAAGAATCGCACATCAAAGAGTTTCATCTGAAATCAAAAGAGAAAGTTCTTTATGATTGCATTTACTGTCCTCGACGAGCCATGAGAAAAGAAAACCTTGCATGCCACGTTAGAGAAAGACATGCTGCTGTTGCGATCAGGTGCCCTATTCAAAGGTGCAGTATTTTGTTCAAAACACAAGATGATTTAACCTCTCATTTGGCAACAACACATTTAAAAATGAAGAAAAACAATAGACTTCAATGTTCAATGTGCGAGTTTAAAACCAACGAAAGAGCAAAAATATCACATCATGAATTTGTTGTTCACAACATTGGAAATAATTCATCATTCAAATGTCCTAAATGTTCAGAAATATTCATTACCAAGTACAAAATGAGATCTCATTTCCACGCAAAACACAATCTCAGGACCTGCCCTGCTTGCAACTGTAAGGTTCCTAGCAAATGTTTTAACAAGCACAAAACTAAATCATCTTGCCGGGAGTGTGGCCTAGAATTAGATTGTTGCGAATCACGCAGACAGCACGAGGTAAAATGCAGAAAGTTGATTTACAATTGTGGAATGTGTCCCTACATGTTCCGATGTAAGTCAACGTTGAAATATCACATCAACCGCAAACATTTAAACATCAAAGATAGCAGTCTTAGGTTTAAACATTTTGGATTAGAATGCAAAATTTGCTGCAAATATTTTTCAACACCATACACATTAAATAACCACCTGCAAACTGTTCACTCTGAAAGAAAGAATAAATTCCAATGCGCCCATTGTAGCCAGGAATATATGATAAAATTTTGCCTAATAAATCATCTTGCAATGGTGCACGACCTTTTGGAAAAAGAGCATGAGTGTGAGTATTGCACAAAAAGATTTTACAGAGCCAACGATTTAAAAAGTCACATTCAAGTGTACCACTCAAAAAAGATTGTAGAGTGTCGTTTGTGCAATAGAATGATGCTCAAAACTGGTTTAAAGTGACATTTGATACAATTGCATTCTATCAATCAGATTGATCAATAAAAATCTGTGATGAATTCAGTGCTTTTAAAGAATTTCTACATACGATTTTTTCAGGCTGATCAAGTGATCTATTTAAAAATATATTTTATAATTTCCTTGTATAAACTAGTTCAATTGCATCATTCTTACTGTACATAATTACATACCCAGAATAATCACAATATAATTTTAATCATAGATGCACAGAATAGTATGATATAATAAGTACTTTGAAGTACTTAAGCTAATATATGAATTTTATTAAAATGTATTTAGACTCTACTTTCAGCGCACTTTATATGTTTAGGATAACATAAAATTAAATTTTTTTTAAGATAATTGCGACTTATTATTTCTTGGTCTTGTTGTGCCGCCTTTTTTGGACGAATTTTATTATTGTCAAACAACTGTGCTTTTTATAAAAATGTACATATTTACTGAAAAATATATAAATGTCAAAAAAATGTAAAGCATGGCGTACAAAAAATATAAATTTATATAAATAAATAGAAAATAAACTATTAATCTCGAAACAAAACCTCTTGCTTTAATATACATATTATAATTAAAAAAGAAGACAAATTTAATCTTTACATTTCTCATGTTAAAACAATTTGCTAGGACTAATTAATTTCACATTGAGTGTTATTTTTTATATCGCATGTTTTTTTTTTTTGCATAAAAATGCATGGGATGAAATAATGTTACAAAGAGAATGCCACTCAACAGAAAACAGTGGTGATGCGATGTAATTTAAGCGCCGATAATTTAACCGAGTGCGGCACAGCAGCCGGAGGCAACACTTTTTGCAGACCGGTCTTAAAAAGGCGATTAAACGCTACAGCGGGGCGGATAAATTTCCGCCGCAGCGCGCCGAGCAAAAAAATTGGCGCTTTCGCCCGGGCCTAGAATATATACCGCGCGCATCACACACATTAATATTTCAGGCGGTCTTAATAGCGGCGGATCGTTACTCCTCAACACGACTAGGGTGTACGCGATTTTGAAAAGCGTCGCCGGCCATGAATTTTAAGAGGCAATCACACACGCCATGTGTAAGGCAGAAAATTAAGTCCCTGAGAACTGCTCCTTTCTCTACACCCCACTCGTTTTTTCCATTCGGTGGAAGGAAAAGTGGCCCCGAGGTCATTCCCTTTCTGCCGAGCAGTTCCGCTCGTAAAGTGTTTGAATAAAAATTTCAATTAATTATAATGGCCTATAAAGTTTTTATCTGCCCCAAGTGCTTGTTTGATAAAATGGCAAAGCCGCAGAAATTCAAAGGCGTTTTCGCCCCGGCAAAATCAAATGAAGTGGCCCGCGGCCGCGACTGCTCTCTCTCGCAAGAACGAGCTGAATAAGAAAAGTATGTAATTTGCCTTACTTTCGTGCACACGCTCTCGCACAAAGGCAGATTTTCTTTCTCATATTCCCTCTTTTGTTCGCCCGCCCGACGCAAACTTTAATTTTACCCTTTTCTGCTTCTCTTCGTCGATGGATAGATTTTCTTATTCTTGGTAGTACAAAAGAGCGACCCGTTTTCTGCACACTCGGCTTTCTTCTCCATTCTCAGAGATGCGCCGCTCCTGCTTCTCGCGTGTGTGCACATTTGCAAAGCCGAGATTCGCGTCTCGAGTGAGCGCAGTTGGAAACTTTGGAGAGAGATGCACTTAGTGTGTGCCGAGCGGAGGGTGTTTGTTTGCTCTCGAGACGCCTAAGAGCACCCGCAACACCTTTAATTACTTCTCGAACCACTTTCGCAAGTAATCAAAGTTAAGTCTCCGTTGATGTTTCAATTTGGAACAACTTGAAGCTGCAGGTCGAAAAGTGCGTTGTTGAAATAATTTTCAAATCATAAATGGGTGCGTTCTAAAATGTAGGTTACTTTGTTTATAATTTTCTAAATTTTGCTCTACTGCTTTAAAAAAAGGCAATTTTATGATTTGATTAAAACAATTTTATTTTAAGTTTTATTATTTGAGCTAAATTCTTTACGTTAGAAACACTTGAATTCTGCAAATATGATCCAAAGAGCAGTTATATCTTTTTTTTTTATAAATATTTAATGGCAGTTAAAATGGTAAAAAAAGTACGTACAAATTATAATTGTATGAATTTAATTATTTTCAAGTCAGCAAGTCAGCGTGTATTTTAGTTTTAATTCCTCCCGTGCATTTTATTTTTAAATTAATAATAGAATTAATTGAATTTAAATTAAATTATAAGACAGAACAAAAACCTCACATCACGAATTATGTTAAAGTTTCATAACTTTCAGCTTACACTACACGTTGAGCTTTGAATTAAATTTGTACAATATGTACCTTTTATTGTTGTGTATTGTTTAAAATACAGAGAAATTTAAGTCGTCCTGGTTCATAGCAAAAAAAAAAAAAAAAAACAGTGAAGGCACATAAAAATCTATATATAAAGGGAACATTTTTTTAAATTTGCACCTGTGCCAGAACAATTGTAGGCTTTAAAAAGCAGCAGGCACAATTGATGTTACGTGTTTTATGGATAAAATATTTATTAAATGATTTTTTAGTGGATTTTTTACTCAGTCAAATTATGATTTCCACTCATATAAAAGGGAAATACTATCAATCAAGTGCAAATTGTAAGCCAGATTTCTCCTTTTAAAATTTTTTCTCCTATCCATAGAAAAATGTATATTATCTATTTAAATATTCTTCAAGTAAAAAATAAAGTCAGCCTGCTTTTCATCCTATGTTGTATTTTACCAAAAACCTTTCCGCACCTTTGTCCGTTCACTTGCCAGAAACGCGCGGACAGTAGCACGTTGTATAACACACGCGTCTGTCCCCAATGAACAATGTAACCCTCTTTTCCCGACGATCAAAACACGATTTACAACCTTTCAAACGGGCCTCGTCACAACAAAATAAAGGGCTTTCGATTTTTACTTAACATGTTGCCGGGACCCGAGCTTTGACACGCGCTCCCCAGTTGACAATCGTCCGCGTCGAGAATAAAAAATCGAGTGTCTCCCTTACCGTGTGTGCTCCTTTAGTTCTCTCGCCTGCAGCCATCGGACGGACGACGAGAGCAAAGGGTGCATTGCTCTCTGAAAATCTCTCTTCTTTCCCTCGACCTTATTTCGAGCGCCCTCCCAGCGGCGTTTTTCTTTTCCCCGAAGTCCGGCCGAAATGCTCGATGCCGAAAAATAAGAAATTCTCTACAGCTGCGATTGCTCGCTTGATATTTTCCATTCTTTCCATCTCTACCTGCCCGGAAGAAAAAGCAGAGCAGAGAAAAGGCTATTATCTTGCCGAGGCAGTAAATTTAATTCCGGCCCGTGCTCCGCCGAGAGAGTCGGAAAAGGAAAAGTTGCGGTGCGGCTCTGGCGGCCCAACACATCCACCCACCAAAGGCGAATGATTAAATAAATAACGCGCTCGAGAAACAGCCGTGATCGTAAATTCGAAACTCATTTATCCGCAGTTTAGTTTGTGTTGGTTTGATATGCTCCGCTTCTTCCACTTTTCCGTTTCATTGGCGTTAAAACGAATTAAGAATAAATTTTCAGACTTGGCATCGCTCTCACTTTTCCGCTCCCCGCTCCGCTCTCGCTCTTTCAGCAAACTTGTCGCTCCGCTCTCGCTCCACTCATAAAATTATTCGCTCTCGCTCATCCGCTCTTTTCATAGAGAGTCCTGGCAATTTAAAAAAATCGTCATCTACAGTTTTTGATTAAATCTGGTATTTTCATATATTTATAACCTCCCGAATCAATTATTTTTAAAATACAGATTTGGAAATAATAAGACCCACGACTATATTATTTGTAGGTCTATTTTCACTTTGTGCAAAATTTTGATTTTAAACCTGCCGCTGAGATTCCCTAGGATGAATAAAACTCAATTCAAATGAAAATATAAAATTCACTATTTTTATCAAGCTCAAATATACATAGTGTTTTTGCGCAAATATGGACTTTTCGGATATTTTAATCCTCCCGAGTTATAGTTATTTTAAAAATACAGATTTTGAAATATAAAATTCACTATTTTAGTCCTGGGTCTACTTTCACTCTCTGCAAAATTTTGGTCTTCCCTTGATTTTAAACCTGCCGCTGAGATTCCTTAGGATGAATTAAACTCCTTATTAAACTCCTAAAATAGACGACAAGTTTGAAGAATCAATTTGTCTTTTAAAATGTGTTCGCTTTTATTGTATGGTTTGTTTTAAATCTTTATAAACATTCAATTTTCATCAAAAATGATCTGCAATATTGTTAATCTTTTTGGTGTGTTGTGCGTTTTTAATCTTCTGAAAAAGTCTTGATTGTAGAAATTTAATTTCACTGTGGATTAAAGTTGGCTCACGGCGGAATGCACTTGATAGATATTGAATGTTGGAGTGAGCGATGCAATTTCCCTGGGCGTCAAAAGAGTTATACATATTTGCACGAGTCAGAATGAACATGTGATATGCGCTTTTGTGCATAATCGAACACGGTGATATTGCTTCGGAGGATTATTGCAAAACCACACAATGTGTTCATCACGATGCCGCGCACATTTCAATAAAACACATATCTGCCGAGCGATGTGCATTTATCCGCTCAACACCGGCAGCTACATCATATGTACGAGTCCTTCATATCAAACGGACACGCTGCACCGTGGACTGAAAAAAAATTGCAATATTATACTCACGGTGGGCTGAACGCCGGTTTAATCAAAATAATATACCCGCCGACGTATTTTACGCTCGCAGAGGCAATAAAGATGGTCGATCGAAGTCCATATTCACAGACCGTTTTAATGAACACCGCGCGAGTGTGTCATCCGAATTTATCGCAGCATAATACACAAGCACGCTGCAATTCGTCCCCGCCGTTGAAATTGTATGTGGGAGCCAATTTATTTATTGTTCGGTTCAGTCAGCTGCCGGTGAGGGTTTATTCGAAAACAATTGGCGCAGACGACGCGGAATGTATGTAAAATTTATGTCATCCACAACATCCACATTCAGTTGCGAACGTGACTGACCTGGCTGTATCAATATTTTGTTTGCGATGCTCGCCATTGTTGGTATTAAATATTTCCCAATGGAAATTTTGAGGTTGAAGGTGAATTGAAAATGAAAATGTGTATTGAAAAGAGAAACCAATTAAACCCGACATTGTGACATGTTTGAAAAGTACATTCCGGAGTAAATTGGTGTGAATATGCAACTGTTTTTCAGTGGTTTATCCATGAATCGGTGGAAAAACTACCGGTGCTGTAAGTTGTCTTCTTGGGTTGCAAGTGCTTGATGAGCGAATGAAGGCCGTGATTGGCGCATAAAACTGCGGCGCGCAACAAACTTTACGATTTTTCACTCTCGCGATAAAGGGTGTTAAAAAAATTTCCTACCCGTTTTACAGCTTGATGGTGCCGCACCAGCAG